TTTTTAAGAGTTTCAAAATGTACGATACTGACTGGTACTTCTACTACTTTTTTTAACTATAAGGATCAAGCCAACCACAAGCTAAAGCTGTACAGCCTTACTACAATTGATTGGCTGAATCATTCCAATGTAATGCAACATGTAGAACATTTTTACACTGTATATTAGGTTGTCAAGAAATTAATGTCACTTTTTTTTAGATGAAAAAACCTGACCAACTTATATATCAAAACAAAACATTTAATTAAATTAAATAGTCTCCATTCTTATTGATGATACTTTTCCATCTTACAATCAGGTTGCTAATGCCCTGATTAAAGAAATCATTTGGCTTTGAAGCAAAAAACATGTCGATGTCTTCTTTAACACCTTCCACATTTGCATACGTTTTCCCATTAAGATAGTGTTTCAGTGAATGAAAAAGATGGTAATCTGATGGTGCCATATCTGGAGAATATGGTGGGTGGGGGAGAAATTCCCAACCCAACTCCATAATCTTGTGTTGCATCAAACGTGCCACGAATGGACGTGCACTGTCATGGAAAAGAACGCCTTTTCAACAGACAAGTGTAGGGCATTTCTGATGAAGGGCTTGATCTAAACGTTCCAGTTGCTGACTATAGCTCTCTGCAATGACAGTTCGCTGTGATTGAGGAGCACGAAATGAATTACTCCTTTTGATGTCCCACCAAGTGCAAAGCATTACTTTCTTCAGATCGAGTCCAGGTTTTAGGGGTCAGAAGTGGCTTTTGTCTAGGACTGAGCCATTGTTTTTGGCATTTAATATTTGCATAGAGATTTTACACTCCTTGAAACCTTGAGTTTCAGAGACATAGTTGAAATATGATGCTCCAGACAATAGAACATTTGAGTCTAAAAAGTTAAACAACGAGTGAATCATTTCAGCATTAACTTGAAACTTCACCACTGGCAAAAATAACAATGTATGAACCATGTTTAACTATATTTTATGTAACTGCAAGGTATTAGCATATGATACTCTGTAGGTGTGACATTAGTACCTCATTACATTATTTTTCTTCTAAAATACATTATTATTCATATAAATGCCAGAAAACTTTAATATTTATTGATTTACAATAAGTTTACTAATTGTAAAACTTGAAAAACAATGTTCAGATAAAACTAAAGACAATAAGTAAATATTCTTGATGAAACTAGATGTTTTTTTTTATGTTCTTTTAAACAAATGTTGAATGAACCGTTTCACCACAAAGTAACTTTTTATACGCACCTGTCCTTTTGGGGGTTGGGGTGGGAATCTTCACAATATATAAGAATGTTTTGTAAAGTTTCCAATTAGTAAAAACTTTAATATTAATATTATTGTGATTTTATGTTTTGTTTGTTTGTTTTTTTAACTTTGCGCAAAGCTACACTAGGGCTATCTGCGCTAGCCGTCC